AAAAGTTATATGCATAAATTGAATTTGTTCAAGTTAGAAAAAAAAAAATGTTGTCAGGGTATAATAAAACAAAACATTCAGATGCTATGAAATATGAAACAGGAAGCAGATTTCCTGGTACTGTAGAAATTGATAAAAGAAACTAGATAATAAAATTTACAAATTCTGGTTCAATATAGCAGGGAGGCATAATATAGTGTCAGCAAAATCTTATTAATTTTGCAAACATTTGGAAAGCAATGGTCAACATAATTTGCTGAGGGAATTATGCATACTGTATCAAGCGTTTAAGGGGAATATTAGAAAAACAGCTGCATGTAGTGTTAAGGCGAGACTCTTTTTATACCTAGTTTAGCAAACCCACCGCCCGCCAATAATGATGATTTCAAATATAAAATATAAATTAATATTTGGCCAATTAGTGCACCCACTCTGCCATGAAAAAATGAAAATTCCAGAAAAGAAAAAAATTTTCTCTCTCTTTTTTTTAAAATTTAAACTCATTGTTTCCTTGAATTCCCCAAAAATACAAATAATAATAATATTTATTTGGCAAATACAGTTAGGCCCCATAAAAATTTAAAAAAATTATTAGTTTATCACCCTATCAAAGAATAAAAACCCCCATTTTACCCATGTTCACAAGTAAATCAATGGTTAGGGACACATATATAAAATGTCATAAAATGGAATCAACTTTATATTCAAATAATATGTTTTTGTTGTACCAGTATATTTGCAAGAAATCCTGAGCTTTTCAAGTGAAAACAGATGGAAAACCGACCGTTTTGAAATAAAAATAATATGTTGATTGAAAAAAAAAGAAAAAAAAAATCAGAATTTTTCCAAAAGTGATGAGGGAGGGGGTGATAAACTAATAATTTTTTTTATGGGGCCTTTATACAGAAAAACAACATGGTTTACTGGGACAGGGAATGGTTGAAAGCCCGTACAAGATTTGCTCCCTATCCTTTCTATTATGAAGTACAATAGTAAAAAAAAAAAAAAACAATCAGAAAAATTAATCGGATTCATAAAAAGATGTAAAATGCTTAACTAAATGACAACAGGATTTTGACCATGGAAAATGAACACATTATGAAAATGCAAACCAATAAAAACAGTGATTACAATCAAAGTAGGTTAGAGTTGTAAAGGCAAAATGCCCTTGAAGGTCAGAGATGGATTAGCTTGTAAGCAATGGATAGCAATCAAGGAAACATCAACATTAGCCTACATAAGCCAGATTATACCACATGCAGCCCACAATCACACAATCAATGCATGGCTGTAGCCTGAGGTATTGGTTGTACTATTGTGGTATAAACATCTCAACTCATACACTTTTTTTTTTACAAGAACACATTTTATAAGAACATTGAGGCTGAAATCACTTAAAAATTAAGAACAAAATAGGAACAATTATTGTGGCTGAGGTCAAAAATGTCAGAACAAGGTTTTTATTTTAAAAAATAGAAAGACCAACAAATCTTATCTGATCCTGGGCAAAATTTTACTGGTTCTTATTTTAAAAAAAGCGCAGTGTAATGTCAGTATGGTGGTCTAAATTGTAGTTATTAAAAATGTGGATTATCATTCCAATAATTATAGTTAACATGATAAAGATGTTAATTATCCATAATAATCTAGGCCTAATAAAAAAATAAAACATAATAATAATGATAATGATATTCAATTACAATAAAAAAAATTATAAAATGTTACACAGCCAGGTAAAATGTAGTCCCCCGTAATGTAGCATCAATACATACATTGTAGCATCCGTCTAAATTTGTATCCATTTCTCTTGAGTAATAATGAAGAAAAACAGAAATCTCAGAGGCCTACGAAACTCCCACGACATTCAGCATGGATGTATTCAGTGCAGAGAAAATAATATATCTTTTAGAATTTTGTCTTGTGAGAATTTGGTATTACAACAAGGTTTGTTTTATTATAGTTTTATTACACTTAATTGTATAGTGGGAGTTAAAGTAGGGTAGCAGCTGCAAATGTATGTTTTGATACACAAAATAAATATTTGAAATAATTAATAGTACTGTAATGCATTTCTAAGGTAATACTATTTGTTAATAAGACCAAGTAAAATTTAAAAGTAGTTTCTCGTCCTAATATTTTGAAAGAAGAGAGAATGAGGGCGCTTTTTATTTCTTCTTTTTTACTCCAAGATGGCAAATCCAAGATGGTCGATAGGAAACATCTAATACTTTTTTCACTTTTACTAAGTAGACACACATTGAAAGCAAATAAAAGAAGCACAAGACATGATTCATACCATATGTATCCCCAACCACGAACGATTTGGGAGAGAAACTTTACTAATGCTTTTAGTTAGCTAAATTTTTCGTACATTTCGTAAAATAAAGGATATAAAAAAAAAATCAATAAATAAATAAGAAATTTGTGAGGCAGAGAGAATTGATGCCTGAGGGGATGAGAAACTAGTATTTTTTTTTATTTGGCCTAATAACTAGCAATTCTTAGGCGCTTATAACAGGTAAACAATATGTACCTTGTTTTTCCTGTAACAACAGGTGTGGGGCTGATGTGGTTATTAAAAGCAGATAAATTATTGTATTTAAATGAGAAATTAAATGTTATTGTTAGGTAGTCGTATATCTATAGTTTCTTATTCACAATAATAATATTAATATTTGTTATTCACCAAATAAATATACATGCTTTGTTACATTTTGCGTACCAGTCACATGAAAATGTGAAATTATTTTGGGAATATTCCAAGTTTGATCAACCTGTCCATTATACCAAATGACAACAAAGGACACAATCATATGTGGGAAACAACACTTGAGTATGTAGCTATGAATAATCAATATATTCATTAATAAAACATAATCAGTTTTTAAAAGAATTGTGAATCTGTCTGTGGTATGAATTAAAAAAACCACAATAAATACTATATACTTCATAATGTCTAATTTTTTTTATGCACATCAGTTTTCATGTAATTTTTGCTAGTTAAAAATAAATCTGATTTGGTTTTAAACATTCACTTTAGGTGAGAAAATAGTTCGATGTGGATTATGAAATTGCCCCGGAATCATACACCACCTGTTATTGCACCATTTAGGCAATAAAAAGCAAATTTGACACTTGCCAATTGATTCCACGAGAAGTTATGAAAACAGAACGCTGTTGGAAGCATTCAACCAATGAAAACATTCAGTTGTATGGTATTATTGCTTACGGCAAGTTCTCAGACACTAATTGCTCAAACAACCAATTAATTATTACAAATCAAACACCAGAAGTTCCAGTATGTTTGTTTTTGATGTTGTGTGTGTAAATGCTTCGAGGTAAAAGTGAAACTTTATCCTTTATTAATGATAACTTGGTAATGAAAAGATCCTTAAGTTCATTTTAAATCATTGTTATATCCCAGAACATAATCTTTATATCCCAGAATACTATGTTGGTTTAATACTTGGCCATGGTTCTCAATATTTTTCACAATGTCCACTTTTGGACAGCGACCCAGGGGTCGTTGAGAACCAGGGCCAACATACAAAAATGACAGCTTACCTGTTACTAGTTGTAGTCTTCTCTACTGTGAAGTCCATGGCATCAATCTCTTCTCTTCTTTGATGAAATCTTGATAGCTGATATGATTCCTGTCAAGTTGTCAAGAAAAAACAGCCAGAATCCAAATATTAATACATCAATGTTTCTCAGAATTTATAGACTTTCTGTTTGAAATTAATAGATGATGAATATGTGAAATATTATAAGCTATGTGTGCATTTATACCATGAAATGTCAGACCTACAGTGGCAAACTCACTTTGGATTTTCAGCTTGTTCATTTGCAGCTTATAAGATCTTCAACTTCTCTTGATAGTCACTATGATTCCTTAGGCTGGAGTCAGGGAAGAAATCCAGATATTAATAAATCATATACTTATATTAAAATTATTTATATTACACTTAAAATATTTACAAATTACACTTATAACACACAACACTAATGAGAAATATAATTATTTAGGTGACATTTAAACATATTTACAGAATTAGAAAAGATATAAACTTCTGGACATTTTGTAACTATGACTTAAATATTCTATAATTCTATACTATGTATACTAAGACTTAACAAGGTTCACAAGGCCCACTCAAAAGTGGGACCACTCAAAAGTAGGGCTACAAAGAATTACGAAACGAGAGATAGGAATTGGATCCATGGCAACGGGAATGTCATGGATTCATGGCAAGGGCATAATGTGGTGGACCCATTGATAAGGGGGTGATTTTTAAGAATTTAATTTGATATATAAAAAAAAATGAATTAAATTGAATAACATTGCTTCCATATATGACAGTCTTTTGTTGAATATAAAATTGAAATAATTGAATATAGATGTTACAACTTTATTACTCCAAATAAATGTTTGGTATTAATTCAAAATTGATGACCATTTGTGGGAATAAGATCACAACTGTCAAATTCTGAAGATTCAATGCATTTCCAATTTGCTTATCAATTTAACTGTGTTTATTTTAATAACCCAATACATTTTAAATACTATTGTTCCATTTGCTTTCATCAATTACTTCAAAGGCATGCCGCCATACTTTGTTGTCAACATGTTTACCGAACCATGAAGAGGCAAATACATACACAAAGCAACAACTTATTCAGTGGAATACTGAATTTTCATCTTTAATTGGTTGTGTTGTGAAAGAACCGATTCCATTTAATAATGGCTTTAATGTCATGGAATAAAACCACTTTGCCTTTCCTCTCCTTCACAATATAAAAGAATTTAATAACCATGAAGACCTTGGTAAAGATAAGGCTGCCTATCTATTTGAGTAGCTTGAAGTCATGGCAGTAAAACTACTACCTCCTCCCTAACAACTATTACCATAGGTCCTCTGGTATAGGCCCACCCTCCTTAAACCAAAAATATGGGGGTGGGCCTACACATGGGAAAAATTAAATGCCATTTTTCAGCACTGTAGGCCTATGCTAATTCAAAGCCAATATTTGCTATTTCTTTCTGAGAATACTAGTAAAAGTCATACCCTGGGTTTTTGCCTTTGGAAAGTCTGGAACGTAAAGAAATGGGCGAGAAGTCTGGGGTGGTCTTATACAGGATGTGGGCTTATACCCAGCGGTGGCGCCAGAGATATGCCGACAAAGGTCTAACATGTCCAAAGGACTGGTCCGAACCAAGGCTACGATGAAGCCTCGGTCAACAGGCCCAGGAATAAAAAAATCCATGTTAGGGTTCATGGGGAGATTTTTTATGGCTTAATTTGGTACTAAATGTGTTTTAGACCACAATATTAGGGATTGGCACTCAAATTAGCGTTATTTGGATAGGCAAATTATTATTTTTTTTAATTTTTAGGTCGGACGACCTAGTCGTTCGTCGGACGGCAGGGGGTCCAGGCCTGTCCGACCGTCCAACAGGGGGGAATTCCCCCGCTAGCGCCACCAATGCTAATACCGAATACGGCAACTCCCTCAAATCATATAACTGTACTGTTCCAGCGAGTTGGATATACTGTACTTAAAGGTGTAGAATGAAACACTTCATGCTTCTTTTCATACTTTCACCTCCACGAATATCATATACAATATACCACATCCCCCCTCAACATCACTTCTTTGCTCCACTTGTATATGGGCGGGATTCAACACATCCCTTTTCTTTTATCGTGTACAAGACCACATTCTTCCCTGCCATTGAATGCATTATAATAATGAATTTTGATGATTTTATCCCCAATTTTCATTGTATAGGTATAGATAGGATACAGACAACCTAAATACAACAAAAGGCCACCTCCTCCCTCTTGATCAAAAATTTGTTTGCATTAACTTGAGATTTAACGATTTATAATTATCTCATTGTGTAAATATACTCATAAACCAGCAAGCCCAAATAACAAAAGACCGCCTCCCCCGCCATTAATTCCTTGCATATTATAGTTTTTACAGATTTACTATTAAAATATTTCATTGTGTAGATGAATAGTATAACTAATAAACAACACGCATAGTATAACAAAAGACCACCTCTCTTCCATCTTTTCATCAATTAATTATTTGCATTACATGTCGAGTTCTGGCAGAAAATATTATTTCCCAACCAACTAGTACAAACTGTTACCAACCAGTCCTATCAACACCAGTACAGTCAAGTGCATATTAATGATCTTAAGATCTGCTTTTTAACAGGCACTATTTAAAACTTACCATATTCCCTTTCATGCAAAAATTCCATAACACTCCCTAACATCAATAAGCTCATCTAGACCCATATTCTCTAGTTACTACATACACTCCTGAGGGCACAATTAATGACAAGAGTATGTCAGGAGTAGTTACTGACTTACCAAGAGCTATACACCTGTATCAGCGGGGAGTATCGAGAGCAAAACCATATCAACCCTTTATGCGCAAGGATGGAAAACAATGACATACACAATTGTTGAGACTGAAATATTCTAATAAATTCTTGCTATATTATACTACAGGCTGGGCTTTATGGCAATACGATTGTGCAAAGTGATAAGGATTCTTTTAAAAATGTACATATTTCATCTTACGCATACCAATGATTTATTTGACTAGGCTAATTAATAGCAAACAAAATTAAACACTGTATATACATGACCAAGTCATTTTGTTTACTTTGACCATATTGCATCGTTTGTTATGTTTGTTGGTATCTGTACTGCACTGGACCTCACAATTACAGTATGGTATCATCCAGATGTTACATACAATTGTAGTGTTGGTTTGCTTTCTACTAAGAGACCCTCCCCCATCAAACTCTTATAAGCTTTGGTTTAAGTTTTTATTTTTGTAACATCCACATAATAATGGAACTTAAGTCTGCGTCCATGATAACAGTCTGCAGACCGTGGTGTCCCTTCCATACTGCTTGACTCCTCAAATCAATAGCAACTGGTGTTCCCAAAAACCATGGTCTACATATTAACTGGTTTTATTCTATTTCACCAAACCTACATAAAACATGTTTCATTTATATATTTTACCATAATCACAATAAATACAGGAAAATGGTTGTGTCAGATTTGGGCCTTTGACTAGCAAAATGACCACTTCACTTCTCGAGATGTGTACCTATGTAAGAAATAAATTGTGGCAAAACCTCTCCATTACATTTAACAATTAATTCAATTGCCTTCATGCCTGAAAACAAATATTTACCCCTGCCTCATCATCAACTTTGATCACTTAAGCTGTGTTTATATAGGAATTTGTTTGGTCAATCTAACCAAGCATTTGGTCAATTTGACCAAAACAAAATCCAGTGCTAACAGCTTGGGTGTCATTTCACTTGGTCAAATTAGCCGAGCTAGCAATTAAGTTTGGCCGAGCAAATTGTGGCCAAGATGATTAACTAGATGGTTGGTTTCTCAAAGCAGAAAAATTCAAATGGAACACACTGACTCAGTTAAATCTTTCTTTAACGTAGATACTACTCTGCGGATTGCTGAACTTTTCACGTCCCCATGATTAGATTTAGATTGATCACAATCCTATGACCTGTGTAAACTGCGTACTGTTTTAGTCAAAGTAGCATTACCTTCCGTCTTGGTCAAAATAATCCTGTGCGAACAAGACTTAGTCAATCTACGTATAAAACAATGTGTGTCAGGCCCGTAGCCAGGTTCGTCCAAGGGGGTTGGGGTTTTCTGGGCGTGAGGTCCACAGTCGAAGCCCCGGTGGAGTCCGCTAAACCCACAAAGCAAGAGGATTTTTGTGCTTTATGGGTCTTAAAGATATATTTGAAAATGTCTGTGTCTAGGTGGGTCTGCAGTGCATTAGTTGGGGTTGGAGGACTTATTTGGTAAATTTAAAGAGGGGGTTTCGCCAGAAAAGAGGGGGGGATTTGCTAGAAAAGGGGGGTTCTCCCGAACCATAAAAACCACCCCTGGGTACGGGCCTGACACTGTGTTCACTTTAAAAGAAGAAAATGAGACAAAACTTTGACAACAAATTGTACTTTATTGCTGCTGTTTGCACCTCACATTTACACTGCAACATGCCAACTGTTACTGGAGAACAACACCAGAAATGGCACAGAAGTTTCAAAACATTGGCATGTTCCAACCAAGACTTTTAATGGATTCTGACACAGATCAGTGTCTTGGGGTATACATACCTTTGTTTTGGAAGTTGTTTGCCATTACTGGTGTTAATGTAAGGTAATTTAAAAAACAGTAATTGAAAATGTTCTTGCCATGGTCCTGGTGACAACATGCTAAAATGGGTCAATGGCTGGTGACAACATAGCAGGGGTTGAACAGCAGTCTGTTTGACTGCTGAAAACATGCTAGAAATGGGATAACAGCATCCATCTTTTGTGACCAGTGACTAGAATGATCTAATCGTAGCAGTGGTTGAAATCTTCAATGTAATATTCTTAATTTTTGTTTAATGCATGCTGTAATACATATGTCCAGAAGTCTGTACTTAAAAAGCTAAACTTCAAACACCCTGGTCGGTCCTGGATTTTTTTTTATGAAGACAAAGAAGATCTTACTCCCTAAAAGCTTCAATGAGACTTAGTTTGTACAGTAGATTTACCCTGTACTCGATGAGTGAACCTGTTGTTGAATGTGATGGAATAAATTCAAAATTAAATATATTGTCACCAATGTAATCAAATGTCTTGCTTTAGAAAATAAGACAAATTAAGAACACTTGCTAGCGGTACTGCTACTGCATGATGCTTGGCCCTTAAATTACTGGGTTTTTATTAATCCAGGATTTTTTCTTATGACTAAAAAACAGTTCCAATCCTGACGTCTGATAATAAGATTTAGTTCATGAAGCACACAGAGTCCTTTAGGAAAAAGTATTGTAGCTTGCTCAACAGACTCCTCAGTTTTTAAAAAATATTAAAAACAATAATTTTACATTTCACTTTAAGATTATAAAGTATAATTTATCATACACCCCTTTCCATAATCTTATTACCAATTAAACATGTATTTATTCAAATTTCTTTATATAATAACATAGATGAGGCAATGCATACAAATTAATAATTCTGACCACTAACCAGATGATTCAACAACAGTAGTAAATTTGTTTTTTGGGGTAAAATTATTTATATATATTTTTACATATATGTCAACACCAAATTTGGTTTACATATACAGTACACCAACAAAAGGAGCCAAAAATGTTGCTTAACTTTAAAATGATTCTTAGTTTCTTAGATACTTTGCAAAAAAAACCAAAAAAACATATATTTATACATAAGGTAGTTGTGCGATAAAACACTACGAAAATTAGCACCAGCAGAAAAAGATGGCAGTCACCAAATGTAACTCTTTTCAATAAAAGGATTTACCATATTTCTTCTTGTATAAGCTCACCCATCCCCTCTTTGAATCCCCTTTTCGATCAAAATCAAATATTTGTTTTTCTTTCAGTATTTAGTGCAAGCTAAACTACTCATTCAAATCATACATTGGGCTTTTGCCTGAAGAAAGGATGGTACGTAATGCTGGGCGTAAAGTGGGGGGGGGGGTGAGCTTATACAGTACCTAACATGGGCATATACCCAAGAAACTATGGTATTAACCCTGAAAGAAACCAGAATGCCAGCTGTTTTTTTCCCAGCATCATTCTGGATAATGTAATGTTTTTGGAAGTCTATATAGAACAATTAATATTCTCTTTAATAACAAAAAGCTCTCTATAGAATTTTTGTGTCATATTTAAGTACATGAACTACATAAATCTGGACTGAAGACCAGAAGTTGATATAAATATGAATTTCTGTACATTACCATTATGAAACAAAACATAACATAACTTGACTGGCTTAACTGGCTACAGGTTAACTATTTTACATACATTTATACATTTTTTTCTTTTCTACAAAAAAAAAAAAACAAAAAACAAAAATAAAACACTGTTTACAGTTGATACAGTGCCAACTTCCATTAGGAAGCTACAGTACTCTTGCCAATATTGGAGACAATCACACCAAATTATCCCGTTGCTCAATTTGCGTTATATATAAATACAGCAATCATGAGTTTACCCGTTTTCTTCTATTCTAATAATAACTTTGTTGGTGCTGAAATAAATTTTAACTCGGATGTAAAGAATAATGTTGTTTTCTTTTGATTCAAAAGAATAATAAAAGTGTAATGATGGCAGTTACTACTATCATTAACAATAAAACATCCTGAAATAAAAACATATTTAAAGAATATTTCAAAGAATTCACTAGCACCCACACAAGTGAACATTTTAACATTCATTACTATATATCTCTTACATTAATTAAAAATTTTATAACAAACTTACAGCCTCTAATACAGTAGATTTCTTCATCTATTTAATACAGTTAGGAGCTATTTATTAATAAACCTATATACAAGATTGGTTAGATATCATAATTGGCTTCCTTGGATAAGTTTAACCTAAGAAAAAACACAACTTACAAGTAATTAGAGTATCATCACTCACATATGCCCCAGTGATAGGTACTTTGAAACCAGAAAACTAGTAAATTTCTAATTTCATGATTTCTTCGAGATTTACCCATTTTTACAACCACAAACTTTCATAATCAGAGGCTAAGAAATTGTTTACTCATAAATTCATTGGATTCAAACATTCCTATGTCGATAATTAGCTGTAGATATGACCATAACAACACAAAGTAAACTGAAAAATCGTTGAGGACGTGTATTGTTTAAATCGAGGCCTGACAGGATGATCATATATCGATGAGGATGCAAGCATTCCATTGTTCAAAATATATTAAAACCTTATTTATTAAAGATTAATTTGGATTTGTATAATTATAAATTTAATTGTATCTATTCTGCTTCTCGTTGGGAATTTTTGTCTCAGTTTACTGGCCATTTATTTTCAAAATTAAAGATTACTGTACTTGTAAGAACTAATTGATATTATCAAATATTTAAACATTATAGGGTTTTCAGTAGGCCTATATCTTACAAAGCTCAACACAGCTTTAGGACCAAGTTGCATTTTCCATGCTGAACGGTTGTTTTTTTCTTATATATTTTAAGCTCTCTGCACACTACTAAATTTTATGTAACAAAAAATGTGATATGCCCATATTTGGTTGTAATATATCACCATACAGTACACATAAATGTGCTCATCAAACAAATTTGTCACATACAATTTGATAGTGACTGAAATTTAGCTCAATGGTATCAAAAGTATCGAAGGCAGGCGAATTCTATTAAAAAACTTTAAGCTATTTTTAGTAATAGTAATGAATTAGTTTTATAGAAATGGAAACGGTGCAAGTACGTCGAGGTATCATATATTTGATAGTAATTTTCTTCTATGAAGTCAAAAGTAAAAAAGAGTTTAATAAAAATATATTGCATTAATATTAATAGGTCGCAAATTATAATTCATCAGAAAATTTAGGATTGAATAAGATGAAAATATTCAACTTATAATTTTACCCTGTTGCCTTATATTTTGTTAATAAATTTTATAGAAAATGGATAAAATATGGACGTACTGTTAAATTAAATTCTTAAAACAAATAAATTCATAGACACAATTGTTTGAACATTTAGAAAAAAAAACCAACAAGCTCTTTTATTATATGATAAAATAATTTTACATTAAACAAAATATTTGCAGAGAGCAATACCGGTAATAGAAGTTTGGATGAACCATTCACACTTTACTGTATATCATGAACACCTATAATCACAGTCCACATGATCATGAACACATGTGATTATACTCCACACAAGTACAGACCCCTGTGATCATAGTTCACATAAGGATGAACACCTGTGATTATATTCCACAAGATAAGCACCTGTGATCACTCTCCACGCAGGTATGAACACCTGTGATCATATTTTACATGGTTATGACCACCTGTGATCACTATCCACATAAGCATGAACACCTGTGTTCACATTTCAATGGTTATGATCACCTGTGATCATACTCCACACAAGTATAAGCATACTTGCTCATAGTACACACAAGTATAAACACCTATGATCATATTCCACGTAAGTTTTAATAGTTTGATCATAAAACACCTGTGATCATATATTCAACATGAACACCTAGGATTCTATTCAAGTATCAACACCTGCAATATTAAATAAACATGTATAAATGGTGGTTTCATACATGACTCAAAATTACTTGTATACGCAGGAATATTTTGATTTACCATATATTTATATATTATGAAAACTTAACATCATGTTAAATTTAAATTTGCCTAGATTGGTGAATATAACTATAAACATTGCTTGTTTATCTTATTAGCATAATATTTAAATAGAGTAATTGAATATGCATCATCTCTCATTTTGCGTTCCAAACTGATCCTCCCAATGAAAATCAATACCTATCATCTTGTAGAACTTCTTGTTCCAAGGTTCGTAGAACTGATACATCTGCTTAAGAATTTCCGGACGTATTTCCGGATGTTTACGACCTTTCGTTTTCCCGAGACACTTTGATGTATCAAGTCCGTCTTTTCTCTTCAAACATGGAAAACCTTTAGTCTGGTTGTGGTAAAAATAACTTTCATCGATAACTACATCCAATCCTAAAAAGGTTTGCACACGTCCGAGTTCTTCATGAGGATTTTTTATCAGATTTTCACCACTCACAAATAAGAACTGTTCTAAGGGGAAGACTTTAAGCCAGTTGCGCATGTGTTTGGCATACATCCCAATCCGTATTACGCCCCACTCCGACGCTAATTTTCCGTTAGATTCATACAGTAAATCCTCAAAATCCTTTAAGTTTCTATATCCTTTACTCATTGTTTGTACATAGTCTGAAATTGCCCTTGTTACAGGATTTCTTACAACTAAAATTAACTTGGTTTTCTTGGACATTTTAAAAATTCTTTCTGGCGCTTTTTCCGTCACAAAATAACCAGGTGTTTTCTCAAGCGTGACTTGTCCTTCCAATGATGGAGGCATTTGCTTTCTGCAATGATAAACATTAAACATATTAGTAATCATAATGAAGCAAAAGACATATATATATATATAAAATAACACTCTTACGCTGACGAAGGCAGCAGGTGCTGCCGAAAATTTCGTTGAATAAATGTACATGTCTCAAATTATGTCAAAGTGTCCGGCGTTTATGTTAACAACTGCAGTGTTATTTTATACAATCGAGACATACGTGGAACATCATCGACTAAATCGATCAGATTTAGTATGTAGTTTTAGTTTAGTCTACGATGGATGCCAGAAATGATTTATGATTATGTTTTGTTTATCTTTTCGTTTACATTTGGTGTGATTCTCATTGATGCTCTTTTGAAGATTGTGATGTATGTATATACAGTATATGTGAGTGGTATACAGTAATTATGAATGGCATACAGTAATTATTGATATGATATTAACAAGTACTCATGGACGCCATGTGTGAAACCATATGGTTTTGAGAATCTTGTTTATAAACTAGTCTTCTCATAACAATCAACAGATGGTGTACATCAACTTTTCTATTGTATTTTGGTCAGACTTGTCTACTTTAATAGTGGTTTTTATTCACTTACAGCTTTATAATGAAAATCAGTTTAAGCCACAGTATCTACAATTTCAATATTCTATCTATCTTCCAGTAAGTACAGGCTCCTCTATCATGAGGTTTATCATGATTTCAACAACAAAAAAAAAAACCTATACAACAGACAACAGAATCTGACAGAAGGCAATTGTGAGAAACACTGAAATTAGAAGAACAACACTGCTAAATTTGGTTCTGTCAATGAAATGAAAGAACAGCTATAGTACAATGTGAAGTTAATTGCATTTTGAATATAAGCTCTTGTAAAATCCTGAATATTTAATCATTGCTCAATATCGAGTCGGGTAAGACGACAGAATGAAACCAATTCATTTCTGCTTCAATGAATTGCTACAAAGCGCCGCAGAAGGCAAGATCAACAGATTGGATTGAATACACTGTGTATAGCCTTCTGGCGATAGGACGCTACTAATAACATAAAAAGAAAATCTTGTAGTTTACTATTCATCAGACGATACTGTTTATTCACCGTTAATACAGCAGGAGAAGGGACGCATCTCATTGAAATCATACAGAATTTTCAACCACTGAGCCATTTTAAGCCACTCTCTTATCCTACAATATCTGTCTCTTATACACATCTAGATGTGTATAAGAGACAGTAGTAATAGTAATGAATTAGTTTTATAGAAATGGAAACGGTGCAAGTACGTCGAGGTATCATATATTTGATAGTAATTTTCTTCTATGAAGTCAAAAGTAAAAAAGAGTTTAATAAAAATATATTGCATTAATATTAATAGGTCGCAAATTATAATTCATCAGAAAATTTAGGATTGAATAAGATGAAAATATTCAACTTATAATTTTACCCTGTTGCCTTATATTTTGTTAATAAATTTTATAGAAAATGGATAAAATATGGACGTACTGTTAAATTAAATTCTTAAAACAAATAAATTCATAGACACAATTGTTTGAACATTTAGAAAAAAAAACCAACAAGCTCTTTTATTATATGATCATTCTTAGGAATGTCTAAATTCATTTAAACTAGCAATTCCGTATTATATTTATAAATCTTTATAACATTATACAAAAATTAGATTTTTCTTAAAAACTGAAATTTTGCCGGGAATGGGGCTTTAAGTATCATATTTATTAACTAGAGCTTGAAAATTGCCATTTTAAACATCATATTACATTGTGGGTTCAGCTTCTGAAATAACATTTTTAAAACGCTTGTTTATTTTTATTATATTTTAGTTAGTTGGACTTTACGCAACACCAAATCTTTGGCCTTGACATATAGTACCGTACAGTATTGATTGTCAATTGGTGTTATGATTTCAGAAAAATAGAAAAGCAAACTAATACTTTGATAGAATATGTTTATTTTATTTTTTTATTCTGATGACAAGCCCAATTTAGAAATCCATATCTTCCTATACGGCTGAACTATATGGCAATATGAATATGCCTCAGATTAAAGGTTAAAAAATTCCACTCTGTATGTAAATAGCTATTATAAGATACATGATTCCCTTGGTGTAAAAAAAAAACAAGAAATTTCATTTCAAGATACTATGTTAGGCATTTTAATACAATTTCTAAATTATTTTTCTTTTTTAATCCCTTTATTTCATTTGTGTGATTTTTAAGTCCTGTCTTGTTTTCCTGATTTTAATGTGAATTTTAGTGCAGGTAAAATTTAAAATAAAACTTATTTAGGTCGTTATATTTTTAATTTAATTTATCTGAATTTGTGCATTTTACCCATTTGTCTTTCTATTTCAGTGTACTTGTTTAATCCATTTTAAATGTTCCTATGTTCAACTTCAATTTTATTCATTTCTGTATTTGATATTTCATATTCCGTACAGAATATACTGTAGGCATAGCATCTCAAAATGTGCTGGTACAATACTTGAGTTTCGACATGAAGGTTCCTTTATTATCAAAAATTTAAAATACATTCCAAACTACCCTGTGCCTTATTAAAGACCATGGAAATATATTACTATATAAAGTGTAACTATGTAAAAACATAACATGTTTTACTATATAAAGTTTAACTATGTAAAAACATAACATGTTTTATCTTGCACTAAACTGTATATACTCTCTTGTATTTTTCTTCTCTCTCACTCGTCTTACTGCCATCATGGAGGTATAAAAATATTTTATACCTCTATGCTGCCATTAACTAATTTCCCTTTTCTGCCCTAAAGTTAATCATGCTTATTCACAGTTCCATTATGTTCTTATGTCTACCGTATTTTACATGAATGTTTAGAACCTGTCCACTTGAATCAGATGCAAAATGCTTGCTTTCAATTATTGTCCACCTGAGTTACTGTTTTTCGCCGCTAAGTTGACTGCCAACGGTTTGACAATCACCGAGTCCATGCTCAATTAACTACCTGTCCAATATCATTTTTATAAACTCGAAATCCATCCAACTTTTCTGCGAATATCACGTACGAACAGCAACCTACATTTGCATCACAAACAATGTATTTTAATGGCTATTTTATGCCTGTACGAAACAGATTTATCAACAGATAGTGATGCCTAACACAACCAGCAGAACGATATCCAAGAACATGTCTTTTTATGGGTCTGCTGAGTAATTTCTTCAAATAAAAAATAAAAAATCCAGACAGCGGATTTGTTTCAAAATTGTATATTTTGCAGTCTTAACGGGTTGCACATTATATTTCGCAACATATGTGAATGTTGGAAATAAAATCTAATGACTTTTGACCTTAGATTCAATTTGAGTGGATGTAGGTTAGTGAGTCATGCAAAACATGTATTTTCTACACACATGCTCACTCAAGCAAACGTTTGATATATTACATCCGAGTCTTTCTATACAGTAGCTCTCTTTCAATTCTCGATAGCAATTCTTCTGCAATTTCTGATGGCTTTACGTTGAAGCCTGGTATAATCATTTTGCGATCGTTGATTGAAATTTCTGATACATCTCAGGTTATATAGTTGTCATGAACTCGCAATGCAAGGATCTACTTAAGGAAACGTATTGTTATATAATTTGAAATGGTACTCAATTGGTAGTTATCTCCCTCAATCATTTATTGTCAGAAGCGGTTTGGCGCAGTGGGAACGGTTTGGGACGATACACTAATCATTTTTTTATTGGGCCTAAAATTAATATTTGAATTCTTAATTTTTATATTATATTTTCCTAGAGTGACGGATACTCTACAACTAAATATCTTTCGCTAGGCCTAGGCCTGTGTGTAGGCCCAATTCTAAAATGTAGTGTACACACTGGTACTAGTACGTACCATAGGCCAGTTGCTGTGAACCCAAACCTAGGCAGAGTTTTCCTTTGTTCATTCTTTGTGTGGTGTGAAGGTCCCAAATGGTCAGCTACTGTATGCTTCAAGGATCACATAATTATTGTATTAACGGCCAATGATTAATTCATAAACAGTACCAAATGGTCAGTCATGATTTATGGCTCACACTCTGTAAACATGACTGATAAAATATTAATTATGAATTTAATAATCTTAGACGAGACTTTTTTATACCTTATTTAACGAACCCTCCGCCTGACAATAAAGATGATTTTTTGTTTTTACAAAAGAATTAGGCTAAATCTTCGTAATGTATTTCTGCCATCTATGTTCCCACCTCCTCTTAGGCTTGACATCATTCTTCCATATAGTCATTATTTTTATTGTCCATGGAAAATGAATGCTTGTTTGGAAAATAGCAAATAGTAAATTTTTTCATGAGGCTCCAATATTTGATGAGAGTGGGGACGTGAAACCAGCAATTAATTTTATTTGGCCTTATGTAAATGTAAAGCATTTAACCATCCCATACTACACTGTTTACATTCAACAATAAAATTTTATTTTTATTTTCTTCTCTGTCTGGATATTTTTTTACAAAATCACTTGCTAATTAAACAAGAGAAAATTTTATCTATATTTTTTTTCCGCCCTTCTCCGATGGTCTTTAAAAAAATAAGTTTGAAAAACAAGGTATACAGAAAGTCTCAGCTTACCTATGTAAAACATTTTCATATGAGCAAAATAAAACTATATCATGCTGGAAGAAAAAAATCTGCTCCCCAAATTGAAAATTTAAATTTTAAGAACATAATGAAATTTTATCTCCTGCTCGCGTGTTGTGTCATTAAAAAATTACCAGGTGATTTAGCTACGGCTAGTTGGTATCTGCTGATAAATATAGGAAGCCTCCTGGCTTCTAGATAAAATAGCTTAAGCGTAATGTTTTAGGCCTAGTTTAACGAGCCATATCTGACCTTTAGAGGAAGCTTGTTCAACCGTAAATTACACACTATTACTATCAAGAACAAAGCCAGGCTCCTTCTTTATATCTTTTGTTTTCGTTGCCCATTACTTTGGGTTGTGATTTCTTGGCAGTCTTCCTGCCAGCTA